TCTTTCCTGCTGGCTTCTTATCCAGTCAGAAATTAAGAAAATTAAGGTGCTGTTTTGTTTGGATTAAAAAATTCTCCTTTGCGGCCTTTTACTTTAAAGTATTTTAGATCTGACTTGAAACAAATCTACCTAGCAGAAGACTGGGATATTTCACCATCCTCTTCCATATGGCATTAATAAAGCTACATGCTAAACGTTTGGAAGTTCTATGGCACATGCAGCCTATGAAATTACCACAACAGTGTTTTTAAATTTTCTCCCACTACATGTGATGAAAACAGGGAATTTTACTGTTAGTTTTGCTTCCCAACTTTATCCTCTCCTATATATGAGTAAGTGGAGTTAATACCAATCGATAGCTCAACACAGACTTTTATTGTAAGCCTGCTTATACAAATATTTTTAGAATTTTATTAATACCCTTTCAATCATTCTTGAAACCTGCAAAGAAGAAACATGTGAGTGGCATCATATTCAGTAGTCTATATTCTTGAGGGTCATTTTGCAAACATCCATCATTACACCAACGTGCTTTCTTTTTAAAAGGATGCTCAACTGATTTGAGTAGTTATGATTGACTGCATAAATGCATTTCTCTTCTTGTATCCACATGCTTTTTCAAAGATTGAGACCTAGAAAATATTTATTACATTGTGGTATTACACTTATAGAGCCATTAACTAACATTCCTCTCAGATACCGGATCACACCAAATATTTTAGCAAATAAAAATGATAACTCTTTTTTAAGGTAAACCAAATGTTTTTTCAAAGACCTGACACCACATATAATCCACAGCAAACTGTAAATCGGGGGATGAGGGTAGGTTTGTTACAACGTTTGCAGTATGACAGCTTTTGAAATGATAAATGAAATTGTACAAGCCACCGAACCAAAAGCTAATAATAAACAATTGATAATAAGAAATCAAACTAAATAATAAAACTGAAGTGACTGGCAAATGGTTTTGTTATTGGCCTCTATTCTCCATGATCAGAAAGGAAGAAAAATGAATGTGAGTGACATGAAAACTATGTCAACGAGATGATGAGGGAAGAAGCTAATCCTTAATGTACTATCTGTTCTATCCTCTCCTACTTATCACAGTAATAGGAACACTGCTAATATATGAATAAAGCGTATTTTTTCTCTGTTGTGCAGAAAATCCTCGGTTTGAGATTTTTAAAAAAAGAAAAAAGAGCTGCAGTGCTTCATCACAAATTTCAGACATAGCAGTCTAATAAAATCTTGAAATTAACATACTGACCTTGAAGTGATGCTGAAGCAAGCAGCAAGTCCAGGGTAGGGAATGAGAAAGAGAAAGTCAGAGAAAGATTTATTGAGAAACACACTCCAAACTTGACACATCAAGAAGAGTGACGGAAAAGCAGCATAGCATCAGAAAGCAGAGCCAGAAATCAAGGTAAGACATTTTCAGTCAAATCTCAATATTTAAGAAAGTTTCTTGGTCAACAAAAGAGCTTTCTAGTTAAGATCATATATTTTCATATATAACATGTGATTCCAGAATCACCTTCAGTGAGATGGGCAGCATATAATTTAATAAATAAATAAAAACTATTTCAGGGCTCACCACCCAAAAGTAACACTGAAAGAATACACAGTACACTGTGTGGATCACAATGAAAAGTTAAGATTTTACCATTGAGGAAATGTTCTTATCTTAAACATCTTAGTGGGAAAGTTAAAATCCTGACAATACCAAGTTTCTTTTGGCTGTTCCTCAGTCAAGTCTAATATTTATTTGAAAAGATTATCTCAAAGAGGAAGCCAAATTTAATGAGAGGACAGAGATTAGATGAAACTGAGGTTTCATATGTTGCTCATGAAGCTTCAGGGGAACTTAGAATATTTAATGAGTAAACAAATCTTAAGTAATATATGAATATTAGACTTCATATGAAATACTGTATTTCATGTTATTCTCAAGTTTTTCTTCTTCAAGCATCTACAGCTTTCCGGATTCTTTATAGTGTCTAGATGTTATACCTCTTCTAAGCTTCTAAGTTTTTTATTACTGTAAATAATAATGAAAGGTGGAAGCTATTAAATTTATCTTTACACAAAGCTAAAACTGTAAATTAGGATATTTTATCATTTCAAATAAATAATTTATAATGTACATATCTTAGTTCATTTATTTTCAAAGCTGTAATTTTGAATGTTTGTTTTGCTCATTTGGTATTAATCCATGGATTTACGATTAAAGCACAACCTCCTGAACACATGAAAAAAAAAGCAATGACTGGGTGGTTTTAATTTGTCAACGGATTCTGATAAGACACCACAAAGGTTATTCTGAATAAATGATATACTCTTTTTCATTTCTTTTGGCTGAACTATCACAGTTGTGTACAATGATATGCTTCGTATTTTTTGTGGATTTAGACAAACTGTATATTAGTGTCACTTCAATTCTAGTAGAACAGAAAAAGACCATGTTATTCCAGCTTTGATTCAAGTTGACCTCCATGGGTCAAGTTTCTTTTACTTAAGATTATTACTGGACTGACAATCTTTTGGCCTCAGTGCTGGGAAAGCTGCTCTCGTATCACCAATTCTTCCCTGAATATTGTTGTAATCAGCATGGGAAATCAGTTTAGTTGGGATACTTAGGTTTTAATCTACCCCCTCCCCATCTAAGCAAGAAGAATTTAAAAACAGAGATAGCAGTCAATGTTTCCTTTTTATGTATCACTTACTTGCTTATAATAAAAGATATTATAATATAAATGTATATATCTACTTTCTAAGACCATTCTTTTAAAACTGTGAAAAGTTAAATTTATTCTTTGCCAAGAAATGGCATTAGGTTAAATTACATAGCAAAACAGTTTACAATCTGTTTGATAAATCATTCGCTTCTGATGACAAAAAGGCTGCAACAATCAGGAATGTTATGTTTGTAGTTTCTACGTTAAATGTGGACTTTATATTTTTAAAATCAAATATATGCTATCATTGTGCATGCATATATTCCAAAGTACTGTATTATATGCAGTACGTATTATATATAACTCTGAACTTTTCATAATGTACAAGGGAGTTTTCCTGATTCTGTGTTATCACAACCCCTTAAATGATAAATGAAATTTATGAGCTAGATAACAAATGTATCACTTTGATAATGAAATTTTAATTTACATATCAACTAAAACAATAATAGAAACTAGTGATTTTAATAAAGCAAAATCTTTACTTCATAATATTCCCTTTACTAAAAGCTATATCATTTAATGGAAAGCTTGCTAACTTTTTCATATTTCCTGAAAACTATGTTTCATTTTCAAGACATCCATTTCTCATTTCCAATGCCTTATTTATTTATTTATTTATTTTTATATTTGTTTTTTATAGTAAAAAAAAACCCTCCCTAAATGCTCTAAGCTTCACTATGCTCTTACAATAGCTTCCTCAATTGTTTGTACTTATTTGCACATGGATTCAAAATTAATGGGGAAACACTATTGGGAATTTTATTCACAGCAACATTATAAATTCACAGCAATATTACAAATGAATAAAGAGTGAGATTAAAACATATAAATCACTCTGAAGACCTTGTAATTTCATGCCACTGGACTATTATAAAAATTGCATTGTTAAGATGCAATAAATATACACAAAATAATTACTCAACAAGCCCAAGAAAAACTATAGCCGATGAGTATAAAAACAAGCACCTCACAGAAAAGAAACAATTAGCCTTGAACAAAATTCTGTATCCTACAAACTTCCATAAAACCTTTCCTTCCAGGCTGTGATGCAGGGGCAGGCCCTGGGTATGAAATATGCGTATTCAGAAAAAGCATTGCCAAAGGAACCATACAATAAATCAACCCGAGCCGGAAAAAGAGAGAAAGAAAAATGCAACATAAATATCAGTGAAAAATGATTATGGAAAAGCAAATTGAAAGCAAATAGGTTTTATTTAATTTTTCTGTTTCATTAGGCAAAAAATGCTAAGAAATAAATACCATATTTTTCAGAGTATAAGACGCACATTTTTCCCTCCTAAAAGAGGCTGAAAACTTGGGTGCATCTTATACTTCGAATGTAGCCCCGCCCACCCTTTGGCCCCCACCCTTTGGCCTCCATGCGTCCTCTTCCTGGCTGCAGAGATTGCCACCGACAATGGGTTGTGTTTTTGGGCTCTGCGCATCGCGTTTTCAGCCTCCAAATGCTCCGTTTGAGAGCCCTTCAAGGCTGTGGGTATCGCCAAAGCACATCTCCGCCGATTGCAGTCTGAAAATGCGATACGTTTGGAGGCTGAAAACACAACACGCGGTGCCCAAAATGGCTACCTGGGACAGCTGCTGCCTTCTCTTACCCCTTCCGCGCTTCGCCTGCTTTAGTCACTGGAGCTCCCTCCGACAATCAGCTGTGCTTTAGAAGCTGTTTTTTAGCCCCAACCAGCCTCAACCTCAAAACCAGTGAGTAAACTAATGTGCTGAAGCTGCCCAGGCTAAGGACGCTAGCCAGATGAATACCTGGTAGGCAGATTCCCTCCCCCCTATTTTAACCTTTTAACCCAGAGGTCTTCAAACTTGGCAGCTTTAAGACTTGCGGACTTCAACTCCCAGAATAGCATAGCTGGCTGGAGAATTATGGGAGTTGAAGTCCACAAGTCTTAAAGTTGCCACAATTGGAGATCTCTGCCTTAGATAGTAGTCAAGTTATAAAAATAACCAAATCTTAAACTGTGCCCACAAGTAAAATATATCACCAAATCTATATTAAGTAAATTAAGGAAGTCTAGTTTTTTAAAAAAGGATGAATTTTATTTCATAAAATAAATACTTCATTAGACAGTATCCCAAAATTTCAATTTATCTTTCAGAATAGTAAAAAAATGGCAGATGTCTCAACTATGAAGAAAATATTGTTTTCAAGTGCATAACCAATGCCTAGCTTTTTAAAAGAAGCTCAATAAATATGAAAGTTGCCTTTCCTTCCCCACTCTTTTACACCCTTCTCACCTTTCCAGTTCAGCTATCTTCTTATCTTTATCATTCTTCTCATTTTCCATCTCTTTTAGGATTTCCAGCAGGCGATCCACTTCAGCCTGAGCCTTGGTAGACTCTTCTCGATACTGAGCCACCTCTTTTTCGAACTGCTGAAATCTATCATTCATCTCTGGATTGGCCCTGGCCTCAATGGTTGCTTCGTAAGCCTTTTTGAAGAAAAACGTTCTAAGAGTTATTTTGCACATCCACGCTACAAAATATTCTATTCTGAAAGTAAAAAAAAGAACGTATGGAGAGCTACTGCATACAAAATGGACCCCAGTTCTTCTTCCAGTATGAAGATACATTAATTATTGAACAACAAAAACTATACTTATATCTCCTATAATATTCATATAAAATAAGATCCTTATTATAGTCACAGACCGACATAACAGGGTGGATAAAAATCAATGATTTTTTTAAAAAAAATCGAAAAAATTGGATTTTTAAAAATTTAAATTGGATTTTTATTTTTATCAAATTTATTTTAATAAAATGCTTTTGGAGTAAAAATCTATCTAAAGATAGCTTTCTATTTTACATTAATAATTTAGTTTATTCAGCATGAAATGGAGCTTAGTTATGTAGCAGGAGGCTGTATATTCTGCAATATTGGGACTCTCGGTGAGTCAACAGTGGAGGAGCCGCTGCGGGACAGAGATGATTTAAATCGTCTTGATTTAAATCAAATCCATCCTGTGGCATAATAAAGAATTCTTTAGATTTGTTAATGTGTGAGTGTCCAATACTAGCCATATTTTTATATTGAATATTTTTATTTATCCTAGAAGCAACAGCATAAGTCTTTATTTTAAAAAAAATATTGGTATAAATTATACCACAATATTTCTTAATTTTCTACTGGAGCGTCTTTTACATTTTTGTTTCTTTCCAGCTGCTGCCAGTTTTTGTTTTTGTTTGGGTATCTTAAGACACTCAGATTTTAGTCCAGACAATTTCACCCTAATACCTTATGAGTTTCCTGGGAATCCCAATAAACTCTGCACGGACACATGACAACTACAACAAATGGATGAAACACATCTGACCACAAACATTCTCCAAGAGGTTACTGTCTTTAAAATTGACTTAAAATTTTACTGGCTGGGTAGAGTCGAAATACTATTGATAAATTAGTTAGAGTAAGACAGGTGTCCATCTCTCCTGCCAGCTATAATACATTTTTTTGGCTAATTTCTAAATATAGAAATCTGTGGTTGTGGACAGAATTGGACTATTTTTCATCTTTTTTAAATACGGTGATTTCAGAAAGCCCCCCTCCCCAAAGCCACTATTCCAGATTGGAAGTGTTGCCATAAAGATTTTCAGTAGCTTCCCTAGTTCATAATATGAGTTTTCTTAAGACTCTGACTTGCAGACTTTCAATTATCAGCACCTCTTTCAACACTCATTCAACATATATGTATGTTCAACTGATTTATTTCTATTTTATTGGTATTTAGTTGATAACCTTTTGAATACTTATGTGTGCTATAAGGAAGCAGGCTATCTGATTTTAAATATCATATGAAAATGGGCAGGAACTTCTTCCCAAACAGAAGTGCAGTAATAATTTTACATCTTATTCTGCATAGCAGTGAACTCAATGATACAATGAAATAAGGTTAAAGTCATAATTAAAATGTCATTTATGAGGAGACAGGAGACAGGTATATAATGTTTACCTTTTTCAGTTGAGTTTCAAATTTCAGGCATTCTTCCTTCTTTTGCTCCAAAGCAATGTCTAATGTTTTCAGTCTAGAGTCTTTTTTCAATCCTGCTGACGCTAATGAAGAGGCGTGTTCCTTCAAATCCAGGAGTGTAGTCTACAAGACAATAAATGCATCAACATATATTGCTCTCATTCTCAAATATTTATTGTGTTCTTTCATAGGCTTGAGTACCATACTACAATAATGGATTATTCCATTCCATTCCATATATACGGTCATATTTTTAGAGTCAAAATTGAAGTGTTTTTAGTTACAACTTAGTTACTAATGTTTAAATCTCATTTAAAGGATATATGATTTAAAAATAACTATCATACTATTTTCAGTGTGATAGCTATCTATTTGTTTAAATAAGCAATAGGAGTTTGGGAGGAACTTTCAAGACTAATAAAAATATTAAATGCATTTAAGTTTTAATATGCTGTAAATCCAAAAAAATAGCTTGAGAAATTGTTCTCTTTTACAACATAAAAATTTGTTTCATCTAATAGAATGGGTAAAGGTGTATAAAATGGGAAACATAATTAGTTTTGATTTTGGAACAATAAGCCTTCTCCCAAAACATTCTAAATAGATTATTTTCTAGTGAAATATATATAGAAGCAATTCAACCATTTCAACAGAATAAAAAAGAATACGTTTCATGTATTCTGGCTATAGAAAACCATGGGATTTGGGAATAAGTCTTTCCTTTCCTAATTTTTCCACCCAAGGTTCACAGATATCAGTGTCTGTCATCCATTATGCAGAAAAAATTCACCAAGTAATCATTTTTATTTTAAAAATTCCAATAAGATCCAACTGCAAGCAGTAGGAGACCTTTCAGTCTCACAAGCTAAAGACTAGCAAAAAACAATTGGTCTGCTGGTCTTCCCACATTTGTGTTTTACTTTGGGTTTCTGTGGGCTGCTGCACTCTTTCATGCATATCATTAATGTTAAATAAGGAAAAGACAAAACAAGCCAATGCCTCAAGCTTTTACATTCATTTACATCCATCCATTTGCAACTCATTAGCAACAGTGCACACATAGCCCAAAATTCAACAGAGCAACTTAAACTATACTAACTCAGTATTGTAATAATAGTGGTCCTTGCATTTATGACTTGCAATTCTGGAGCTTTTGTAATAATTCAGTTGTGGAGCCCTGATTGTCTCTAACAATAGTGCAAAATACACAACGGCTCTTCAGGCTTAAGGCTGAATTTAAGATTTAAGCAACTGTTGTTTTGTTATAGTTTATGGATGGTTGCAGCTACTACGTTAGCTTAGATCGATTTTCTTTTTCAAAAAATACCAGATCACAAGGCACAGGCAACACACACTGAAAGTGTTTCCATGTGAAATACTAAAAATACCATCTGAAGTACCAAGTACCGAAGAAAACAGCATAAGTTGTTTGGAACTCACAACAACTTTTAAAACATGCACATTTCATTCTGAGCATGTAACAACTGAAATATTTCAAATGCCAATGTTTTGCCTACCCCTACTTTTGACACAAGCTTATGCAAATGATGCAATTACTCATTTAACTTAGTTGGCAGCTTAGAATCAGACAAACGGATTCTAAAGTTTTTCTCAGCAAGGAAACTTAAATTAATTTTCAAACTCCATAGATTGAAGGAATACCTCTTCCCATTGATCCCCACCCCCCTCACACAATAAGAGAGCAGTAAGCTAACCTTTGGAGAGCCTAGTTTGGGTACCCTCCCATTCAGCCAGTGGCTACTGGGAACAATCTATTTCAATGGCATTCCAAGGACTCTCAGCACAGTGTATTTTGTGCTCTCTTTATTTGTTTTCAGAGTCGTGTATTTTTATCCTCCCTCTTGTCCATTTTCTTAATAGACTTTAGACTACATTTGAAATATCTAAATTCATAGTTGAACCATTATCGTTAACCAGTATCAGTAGGTAAGAAACTATTCTAAGCCCATTTTAATGAGGCAATTCCAAAACGTATATATGTATCTCTGAGATTAACCTCCTTTTCTGTAAGATCTGCTTGCAAGATGCTGACTTTCTCTTTAAGGTCTTTCATATCTTTTTTATAGTTGTCAATCTCCTCTTGTTTTTCTCGCTCATCTCTGTCACGCTGCTCCTTGAGTCGCTCAATAGTACGCTCCTGGCAAAAACAGAATATTATTGTCAAAGAAATATCATCTTTTAATGCACATAAACATGGCTGATTCCAGACTTCCCGTCTCACTCAGAATACTAGCCTTGGTAAATTCAATTTACTGGATTTTAATGGATATAGAGAAATGTGATTTTAAATAAACGCTTGTAATCATTTTATTTTGAAACCATTAAATGGTCAACATTTGAAATAAATGATTAAATAACTTGCAAGGATTTTTATTTCCAGAAACTAAGAACTGAGACAGCAGACTCATTGTTTCTAAAAAAGGCATTACCAACATTAACAAAAATGACAAAGGATGCAACATAATACTATAAGTTACTAAGAAAGGAACTTCACAATGGAGGCATCAGGCTTTGTTATATATGAGAAACATTAAAAAAAGCAAATTATGGAAAGATAACAGTTCTGGGTTTTTTTTTAAAAAAATTGAAAAACATCACTGATTATTTTGAAATAGCCATTTACAAATTTATAAATTCACTTTAGAGTGACTGTAATCACACTAAGATGTTAATACCTGCAATTCTTTCCCCAAGGTAAAGGGAAGCGAAAGCAAAAGAGGTTAGAATTCAATTTGGAGTATAGGTGACTGAATCCTAATATAGAATATTTATAATTTCTCTACAGAAAAATCTATATACTACTAAAACTTTCATGTCTGTACCCTTTGACTGGGCAAAATCAGGGTAAAACCTTTTGAACCAAAGCATTTCAAATGGACTAACTTAGAGAATGTGTCCAATATCTGGGACCCATGACTCCAGTAGAATTGAAATTTGGCAAACTTTATAAAACATTTATGACATCAAATGAACATAAATAATTTTCAACAGAATATCATAAACTTTTTCTGTGGTCAACATCAGCAACTTTATATTACATTGTTAATGCCATGGTATGCATTTATATTTTTCTTCGTTTCAAGCAATAAAATAAATGAAAGAGGACACAGAGAATTACTTCTCAAACAGATGTCTACAGTGATGATGACACAATCTTTAAATAATGTTACTTCCTTTCCTTCAGACTTACCTTTTCTGCAAGTGCTTCCTCTAGTGTAGTCAAGGCTGTATCGGTGTTGGTGGTATCAGCTTGCAGGGATTTTACTCTTTCTTTCAAACTGCTCATTTGTTTCTCTTTGTCTCTTAGTTGCTCCTGAAGATTTTCAATCTTAAGGGAAGGATACAGAACATAAAACTTGGGGGCCACAGTTAGGGATCACAGTTATCAGGATCCGATAATCTTAATTGTTATTCTCTACTAGAGAGTAGCAGTGAAAGATGTCATAGCCACTAGTCTCTTTGGCCATTATTTTTATTGTGGCCCTGCGATTCAGCCACAATGTCTGGGCAGTAAAAATCTAGATACAGAAAGTTCTCCCTGTTGATAACTGGTGGTCATCCAGATTTTTGAAGTCCAGACTTTATGGTTCTACTGTGCAGAATCTAGAGACAAGAGGGAATGGCAACAAGGAGGAACACAGGAAGACCCCCAAGGCTCTAAGGCGTCTTCTGCCTTTATGCAACTGAATCCAGTCATTTGGCCTCAAGCTCAATTCTGTCTCTAAAAGCATGAAGCACTTAGGATGCTCTATGCTTGTCTGAATAAGAAAGCACTTTCTTATCATTGCACACCAGAACAGTTAGACACAAGGACAGTCCCCCACCCAAATGTCATCATTCTGCTAAATCTGCTAATTCTGCTAATTTCTGCAACACTGTCAAACTATTTAGTAAGGCTGTATTACTATTATTCTCATCTTTCCAATTACCTATCTCCTTTTCTACTTATGACTATAACTTTGTTGCTTGTATCTTTACAATTTATATTGTTTTAATTTCCTAGTATGATTTATGTTGATTGCTTATTTAGTATCCTATGACTATCACTAAGTGTTGTATCTTATGATTTATGATAAATATATTTTTATCATGTCTATGATCATGATTTATCATTTATGGCTTTTATGTACACTGAGAGCTTATGCACCAAAGACAAATTCCTTGTGTGTCCAATCACACTTGGCCAATAAAGAGTTCTGTTCTGTTCTGTTCTGTTCTGTTCTGTTCTGTTCTGTTCTGTTCTGTTCTTGTTCTGTTCTGTTCTATTCTATTCTATTCTATTCTATTCTATTCTATTCTATTCTATTCTATTCTATTCTATTCTATTCTGCTTCACTCTGAATAAACAAACTAATGGTATCAGAAGTATGGCTTTCAGGAAAGAGTTAGGGTTAGGATTTAGAGGATTTCCTTTCCATTAAAGTTTATGATGTATTTGTCAAGAATTTAAAGTGTCTCAAGGTATTTTGCTGAAGTGACCAACAGCTATCTCCCTGGAAACTACAATATTTTATTAGCCAACTGAACGAACAGTTAATTCAACTGTAGTTAATGTTAAGTCTTACTAAGTCTCTTTCAGTTCAGTAGCTAAACAAGCAGAAGACTAAGTTAAGACATGTATCTTTAATCAGTTGGTGGCCTAAAATAGAAACATAGTCAATAAAAATACATATGAAGGGTCTTTACAGGCATATAGAGAAAGTCTAATCTTAGAATTTGTACCAGCAAGTAAGTGGGAATCTCTACTATTTTAACACATGTCCCCAAACTGACTTTAATTGAAATATCAATTCTATTTTCCAAGTCAATAATTTATTACAAAGTTCAGAAATCCATAACAGAATTCCACACGAGAAATTCTTCAGAGAATGGCATTTATTGTAATTGCATGTGAGAAATGTCTAATCAGCTATTACTGTCCTATTTAATTTCTTGCGAATAGAAAAATTTAAAAAGCACAGGAAAAATGTTTACACATTGATGGAGGACTGATGGTTGTAGTGTAGGAACCTCAAATTACTTTGTTCTAATGCAAATACAAAAAGATTACACAAAAGAGATCAGAGAAAAAAATAATCCTTCTAAATATGTCTGGGAAAAAACTGCTGGGAAAATATGTATGTGTGTGTGTATACTTTAAAAATCAACAGAACTATGATGTACAATTCAAACCAATAAAAAGCAAACTAAAAATGCCATTCAGTAGAGCCATAAAAATACAACCTCTTTCTAAGAGAAATACCCTATTTAAATCAATTTAAAATGTAAAACTGTCTCAGCTATCTAAAAATAATGGAGACCACATGCATATTACATCAATCCATTGTGTCTGCTCTCTCCCTCTTACACACCCTGGGAAGATGATTAAAGAGGACCTATTAAAATTAGAGTAAAGCTCGTGACATAGACTTTCAAGCTCCGTAGGACATTTTATTCTATAAATCTATTTTATTTCTTGTACAAGCTGTCACACTGCTTATTTTCTCTCAATTAATATTAGCTAACAGTTCACATAAATAGCAGCCAGGAAGTTTTCACAGACTTCAGTGAAACAGTCTCGAAAACACATTTTCAAGAATGTCAATAATAATTTAGTTTTGTAATGCTTATATATGTTAAAATATAGTAGAATGTAAGTATAATAAGATGAAATAACAGTAAGCAAAAGACTTTCTGCATGTTATATAGAATTCTTAGTACTCTTACAAAATCCTGCCCACTTAAACTAATTACTGAATATAATTACTGATAGGCACTTAAAGATCAACAAAGAGATATTGATATTCAAATCATGTTTTAATTTAATGAGAATTAATTAAGTAAAGTGACTAAGACTTCTTTTTCATTCTACTGCAAGGAAGAGTTACGATACTCAAGGTGTAATCTTAAACATCTTGTAGCTAAGACCTTGCATGTCTTGATGAAACCATTTTTTCCCAGACTTCTCCTGGTTAACCCTAACCATTTATTTGAGGAGACTGGAATAAAAGAAGCACTACAGAAAGAGAGCTGCTCAAAATATCTAGGATCACTTTATTTATTTGTTCAATTTATATTCCACTTTTTTGCTCAATTAAGTATTTAAAGCATAGGTTTCTCCAGACGTTTGAACTATAATTTCATGATTCCTTACTACTTTAGCCTGTATTATTGAAGAAGGTGGGGTTGTACCCAAATAATCTGGAAGGAAACAGGTTGATTATTATACAATATAGTTTGAGCAATTAGTTAGTTTGATTAGTTATTTTTCAAACGAACTGTAATCAGATAACACACTGTATATATAGACATTGAAACTGTTGCTCTTTCTATATATAGCAAAATAATACACACACACACACAAAATATAGTATCATTACTTCCGAAATGTCTAACAAGAATAGTTGTTAACTTGTACATAATTCATGCTTCTCATAAGTATTTATTTATGGCTTTATGTGGTAAGCATTCAAATTCATAGATTTTTTAAAAAAATGAAAGCCACTGTTCTTTGGCCCTATCAAACTATAGTACTTATGCAGCAAGAAAAAATAACAAATAACATTCTGGTGAAAATAAAAGAGTTCAGTTTTTAAAACAATGTTTGGTAAGCCCACCTTTTTTTGAAGAATGTTAACCTTGCGTTCTTTCACATCAAGCATATCCTTGAGATCATGAATCTCTCCGGCTTGAGTTCCCTTCTCCTCAGCCATCTCTTGAATTTGCTTAGTCTTTTTGTTCAACATTGCCTCCTTCTCTTCCAGGCGCAACCGAAGTGCATCTACCTGAATTCAGTCACAAGGGGAAAAAAAATCCAGTTTCTTTTCACTAAAATGCTTTTAAGCAAGTAAACATTACTAACAAATAATTGATCGATACATGTGTACTGTATTTATCTTCTTCTCTTCCTCACTAAGAATTAGTAAACTGAGGGCGCAGATCTCTCCCTGTTGGGCTTGGGGTTCTCTGTTGCTGTTCCCCACTATAGGGAGAAGGATCTATTTATTCAGTCTGTCCCAGGCGACTGATGGACCAGCTTAGAGTAGTTCCTATAGCAGTGATGGCTAACCTTTTTGTTGTTGCGTGCCGAAAGCGCGCACACGCCCGCCTGCACCCATAATGCAATGCTCATGTGTCCCCCCCCGCACATGCACACGTGACCCTCCTGTGCTCCCCCGTGCCCCGTTTTGGGCCTAATAGGCCTCCTTGCAGCCTCCTGGGAGCAAAAAAGGGGTTGCAGGGAGGCGCCGCACCCTCCCTGCGCCCTGTTTTGGGTCTAGTAGGCCTCCCTGCACTTATAACTCATAATGCAATGCCCCCTCCCGTGCACCCCACCCACCCGCATGCAACCCCCTGCTCTCCCGTGCCCCCTTGCATGCATGAGCGCCTCCCGCATGCCCCCTCCCCCTGCAAGGTGGAGACCCCAAAACCAGCTGGCAGGTGGGAGGCGTGTACGCATGTGCAGTGGGGCTGAGCTGGGACGACGGCTCATGTGCCCACAGAGAGGGCCCTGTGTGCCATCTGTGGCATGTGTGCAATAGGTTCGCCATCACGGTCCTATAGCTATGGTATATGATTCTACTGAAGCTACAATCTTGGAATGAACAAACAATGTTGGCCTTGAATCAGAGACCCACAGAGTCTCCGATTTTCAGATATACCATGGGGAATGAAGTGACAAAAGAGCCATCCATAAAACCACTGGAGAAAGAGGAGCAAGTCAAGTTAAACACATATAAGAGTCTGTGTTAAGGACTAACTTGTGGCAATTTGGGGGAGGGGAAAGGCATACTTATTTCTTATTGTGTCTGCAGACTGCCATCCAGTAATCATATTTTGGCTGATCAGGTTGCTGCTGGATGCAATTCAAGGTATTCGCTATCATCTTCAAAGCCCTACATGGCATGGGGCCAGGTTATTTACTCCAATTGTATCTGCATGCTCCTGGTTCCCTCAGTGAAATATTAACCCCTGATAGGTCCTAGGAAGCAGTTCCTGGAAAAATCTTCCTCCAGAAACATGGACAACCCCAGTGTTACTGGGTTTTCTTCTCCCAGGTACTGGCCAGGCTGCTAATTTGGATACATCAGTGAGGATGTATAGCATAGGTACTTTGTGTTTTTAATGAGAGGTCCTTGACCTGGGTTTCTTTCTTTTTTTAACTTTTGTTGTTTTAAAGTGGATAGACAGGCAGCCTTACAAATCTGATTAACAAATAATAAATTATGAAGAATTGCTGTTAGAAAAGGATTTAGGGATGGAGAAGGTTAAAAAAATAGGAACTTGACAAAGGAATTATCAAATTGTATTTTGTAAATTTGTAAGAACAGGGAAAATTCTCTTATTATAGTAGAAATTGGAATAAACTATATCTTTGAATGTTCTTTCTATCCTGTATGGTACAATAGTGAATTTTTACTACCAAACTGATGTACTACTCTACTATCACTGTAGTTCAGGCACCTAGAAATATAACTAAATTATTATTTCTTAAAATTTCTTTTGTGTATCTTAGGCAAACTAGGAAAAGAGATTTATTAAAAAGCTGTAATCTGAGCTGATCAGATATACAGGTAAGTTCAAATGGTTGCTAAACAGTAAGTCTTTAACCAAGGGATATTTGTCTATGTGTACGTGAGTGCGTACGTATGTGTAAAATTAAAATTTAAAATCACAGTGAGTGTCCTAAATATTTTATTTAAATATCAAATAGAAGTAGAGATTTACTTTACATGTGCAGAATAGACAAAACTGGAATATTAGTAAATATTTTCACATGAGAAAATAAATTTCTTGGGCACTGAATTTATGTTTCTACACTGAATTGGTAAGGAGTAGGCCAAATAACTGGCACTTTAAAAAAAATCCAAAACAAACAAAAATTATTTTAAGAAAACGATTTGGCACAATATTCTTGTAAGCCAAAGAGATCACGTGCACAGTAATAAAATTAAATATAGATGAATGATTTTATTCCAAAATAAACGTTGCTTTATTTACAAAAATATTCTAAGTTCCTTGGTCTATTTTTAAAGCCTCTTTCTCGAATTCAAACTTGCTATAATATCCTCTCTACCTATTCGCCTTTTGGAATAAAGAAGCTCAAGATATTTTGCATTTCAGACCACTGTTACAAAAGTCACTGCCAACTTTAGGCAACTTAAAACAAAACAGATGTGCCACATAAAAACCCAAGATGTAAATTTATAAATCCAATGGTATCCGTGGTAATTCATATCACTGATTCATTAATTACCCCAAAGAAATTCATTATGCAGAAAACATATTGAATTTCTTGGCCACTGGCAAATGTGAAACATACTGGCAGCTGTTATTAATTCATGTTCTCTCTGAAGATGCATATTTATGTACTAAATAACAGAAGCCCATACTGCTTTAAAGGCCAAAAAAAAATTTTTTTTTTGGATCACAAAATAATTTATAATAAAGATTTAAGAAATGTCATCTCCATTCCTATACCGTTACAGACCATTTTTTTTTTCATCATGATGCTTCACAGAAGCTCTCTACATGTAACTTTCATTGTACAATTTCCTGTACAATTTGTTTTCTCTTTCAGGCTCTTTGTTATAATATTCAGTAAGAGATTATACAAAGATTGCCTTGCCCCTCCTCAAACTGCTAAATGGAAGTTTTAAATCAGGTAACTCCAAATTGTTAGGCTAAACATTTAAAGAACAGTATAACTTTTGTAAATCAAATTAATGTTAGATAAAAAAGCATTTTGAGTCATAATATAAGTTAATGTGTAAAAATATCCTGAAATTTAGAATTTTGTCAATTTAGGATATTTCAACTTTCAGAACCAAAGCAGTGAAATATAACAATTATTTAACTGATAAGAAAGAATTCAATTTATAGCTATGAAAATGATCATTTCGTATTTTGCAAACTGTTTTCCAATTAGGTATTTGCAACCTAATTGGAAAACTAATCCTATTCTAATCTTATTGTAATTCTGATTCTAACAGAAGACAAATTTTAATAACTAATATACTGGCGCCCTCTTATGGCTAATATACATAACTTTAGTTAGCCCTAAGGAAGCAATTACACACACACACACAAAAATATACATAGTTATTTATGTTTATATTGAACATTTCCCAGTTAAAAAGGTAATGGAAATTTTACCCACCCCTATATGTATTATTTTCAGTACACATGGTCTTCTAGAAATATATACCCAGAGGTGGTATTCAGCCAGTTCTGACAGGTTCTGGGAGAACCGGTAGCGGAAATTTTGAGTATTTTGGAGAACCGGTAAATACCACCTCTGGCTGGCCCCGCTCCATCTATTCGCTACCTCCCGAGTCCCAGCTGATCGGAGTCGCAGCTGATTGTCTGGGTCTTCTTTTGTTGCCCTGCACAGGAGAACGGAGCTGGAAAGCGGGTTAGTGGGGTGGGGAGGGAATGGGGATTTTACAGTATCCTTCCCCTGGAGTGGGGTGGAAATGGGGATTTTACAGTATTCTTCCCCTGCCACGCCCACCAAGCCACGCCCACAGAACCGGTAGTAAAAAAAAAATTGAATACCACCACTGCATATATCGTATTTTTTGCACTATAAGACACACTTGATCATAATGCACCTAGGTTTAGAGGAGGAAAACGGGCAATGACAAAGACAGAAGAAGTGGGGTTTAGCACTGTAAAAGGACCCCACTGTGGTGGCCCGTATTTTTTGCTCCATAAGATGCACAAACATTTCCACCCACTTTTGGGGGGGGCGGAGAGTGCGTCTTATGGAGTGAAAAATACGGTATTTAATCTATGGCACACAAATACATGTCAAAGTAACATATTAGCCAATGGCAATACCACTGTTAGAGTAAAAGCTGCAAAAATGCTTGATTTTTCCCTTTATATTTATGATATTGGTATATTTAAAACAAAGAACCAAATAACCAATTTCCTGTCATTCATTTTTCAATGTCAAGATTAAAGGACTTCTGTAAATAAACAACTCTTTTAAAGATCTGAATCCTAACATGAAATTGATATTTTTATGTGTACTGTTTGCTCATACCAGTAGTCCTCAATTTATGGTTATTTATATAATGATGGTCCAGAATTACAATGGCGTTGGAAAGGGTACTTTACAGCCTATAAAGTACTCCTGGCCATCGCAAAATGTCACACCACCACCCTTGAGGTCATATGATAGTAATAATAATAACTTTATTGTCATTGTACATGTATACACAGTATACCCATACAACGAGATTCACTTAACACCCAAAGACCAGGTCCAACACACATAACAATCCCCAAACACACTCCCACCCACCACAATTCCCCCCCCTAAACTACCCAAACATCCACACAACAGACCAAGTAATTAGGATCCAGGTGCTTGGCAACTTGTTAGCCCTTGCTGAATGGTGGAGAATCAATATTCAGGAATGAGAGAGATCTTTTAGAGTTTGTCACCAACTACAAATGATCGTGTGACTGCAATGTTCTCTGCCAGCTTCCCTAGAATGCCAATGGGAAAGCTGGCACTCAAAGCTGCTGCCTAGAGTTGCAAGCTGCTGCCCCTCTCATCTTTGGGGCTGGCTGAAAGAGCTATCTCCTAAGGAGAGCTTAACTCTTTGGGGGAGGAGGGCACTGAAGCAGAGCCAAAATTCTGAAGATTTTGGCTCTGTTCCTGCACCCCAATGAAGGAATTTGCTTCCATGCATGGAAGGGAGCTGAACTCCTTCAATGGAGTCCAGAAATGGAGCCCGAAATCCTTCAGCATCCCATTGAAGGAGTTCCTTACCATGCAAAGAGGAAAGCTGAATTCTTTCAGCGTGCAGTTCTTTCATCCAGCCTCTAGAAAAAAGAGTTAGATGAAATCCAAGCAGTGTCAGCATGGTAAGGGGGTACAGGAGACCTTGGGAGGTTCGGCGCAAGCTGTACATGAGTGTCTCTTTGCTTGTGGGTTGAAAATCCTGCTTGGATTTTGGCAGGGAGGATTTTCATCTCCTGAGGGGAGCCTTACAGGATCTCCCATATCCCCCTGAGGAACCCCATGGTTCTTATTCCAGCTGCTTAACAACCCGTGCAATTGCTTAACAACTACAAGCAAGAGTGCCAGGATTGTGGTTGTTGAGCGAAGCAGTTATGTGTCAACTCACTTAACTTCTACTTTGCTCAATGATCCACATTCTGGTCCCAACTGTGATCATTAATCAAGCACTTCCTGCATTTGTAAATAAAAGATAAAGCAGAATACAGTCAGGATGTAAAATGTCACACAGAGCCGAGGTGGCACAGTGGTAAGGGTGCAGCTACTTCAGCTGACTGCTAGTTCAAGACTGACAGCAAGTTGTCAATTAAAATGATCTCTTTTCCAATGTGAAATAATCTCGTACTTCTTTCAGTGTCAATTCTAAATGTCTTATACGAGCATTTAAATTGAGCACCATTTGTCTTCTACTACGACCCGAAAGGAGGATTTGGAACACGATAACAAAACGTGATTAAGAGGAAACTAACTTTAATCAGGTTTAATTTTGATGCAGATGTAAACAAGTTTAGTAGCTGATAAACAGGACACGGGTGTCTTATAGACTAGTTAAAGAAGACAAAATGGAGGTAGGAATGGAGAGTCAGTTTTAACTCTGGATGAAAATAAACTACTGTATTTTTTGGAGTGTAAGATGCACTTCCCCACCCCCAAAAGAGGCTGCAAATTTAGATGCGTCTTATACTCCGAATGTAGCTTTTTCGAAGCTTTTTTCCAGCCCTAACGAGGTGCTAGCAAGTGAAGCGATTTTCCGTGCTTTGCTTTGCCTGTTCCCTTCGACTCTCAGCTGTGCTTTAAAAGCTTTTTTCCAGCCCTAACAAGGTGCTAGAGTGAAGTGATCGCTGTGCTTTGCCTGCTTTTCTCATTGCTGCTCCCTCTCAGCTGTGCTTTAGAAGCACAGATAAAAAGCGGGAGAGTGCACTCAAAACCAGCAAACTAATGTGCTGAAGCTGACCAGATTAAGGACGCTAGCCAGATGAATACCTGGTAGGCAGATTCCCCCCCCCGCATTTTCTTCCCCAAAAACTAAGCTGCGTCTTATACTCCGGTGTGTCTTGTACTCTGAAAAATACGGTATTTCTTTTCAATGGGTCCTAAATGATCACATCAGGAAAGGTAAGCTTATGGATGATAACAAATGACAGATATTCCTCATTTAATATCAATAATTGGGACTGGAATTTCCATTTAACAAAAGCTATGAGAATTATCAATATTTAGGGATCACAGAGATCGTCTAGGGCTTGTCACGAGCTGCAAGTGATAAACAATGGGAGAGAAGAACTATTATCTTCGTACTATGTTTACAGATTAACTAGTGGACATTGCTGAATAGACCAGATTCTTTGTTTTCTCAATTCTTTCTTATGATTTAAAGAGATATTCAAGTATGGAATTTGAATCTCTCTTTAAAACATAGGAAGTCACAGATTTTCCTTCTAACTTAAGAAGAACTGAAGAAAAAACACCCAGAAGGAATGCACATTCCACAGCCCAACCCAATCATCGTGCAGAACTCCCTGGTATTAGGGATATATTTGTTACCTCTGTTTGCAGGATGGCAGCTCTCTGTTCTTTTGCTGTGAGGGATTCCTTGAGTACATCAATATGTTGCTTGCTATCAGAAAACTGGTTTGTGAGGGTTTCCAATTTTGTCTGTAAAGCCAGCAACTCTGTATCTTTTCGGGATAGTTCCTGTTTCACTTGACCAATCTATAGGAAGAACCAAGTATGAGAATATATGTTATAAAATGGCAAGAATGCATTCAGAAGCATTATGGAAATGGCTTCATTCCATGTTTAGCACCACATTTCCAGCAATCTCAAAGGTATGGCATCAAGCCAGCTCAAGAAATCTGAATAAAGGAACAGTAAACCTGAAAAAAGCATGCTTTTGTGTAAGTTTAAAGAGTTTTTGAGGAAAAGAGAATAAAGCATTTCTAAAAGAAAGCTCCTTGATAGGAAGACGATAAGACTATATAGTTGTAGTAAACAGCTTCTCTTATAACCACTAGCCTCACTTTGTGGAAGGCCAAAATTGAAAAAGGCCCAAATACCAAGGAAATCAGTCGTAGCATAAGGTATTTTTTTTAAGCACTCAAAAGTGAACAGCAGGAAAAGAAACCCTGGTTTTTAGTAAGCAGAAATTATTCAGATTTGATGAAAACTATCACTAGAACATTTTACATGCCTGCATTATTATTACCTCACATCTTTTTTCACTTTAGCTTTAATTGCTTCCTCAGACCTCAAGAGACGCAGGATAAAATATAAATGTAAACCAGAGCAACATACACGAGCAAATATAGTTTCAGTTCATTTCCAAGGTTATTTCCAAGGCTTGGGGATAATTAGCTACTAGTTGAAGCGTAACTAAAATCTTATAATATACTGGCCATCTTTTAAAACCTTATGTGAAAATGGCAAAATCTTGCTAGATTTCATACAAGAACATTAAGATCTCATGAAATTTCATGCAATAAAACTGAGCAACGAAGTCAAAACCTGATGAAAGTTAGCAATCTCAATTCATTCCATCATTTTGGGTAAAATCTTTTGAGGGCAAAATATGCTTTTATATCTGTGGGTATCATATTGCTGACCCCAGTCCATGGAAGGAATTTAAATAATAAATAGTAAGTCTTTTTATCCTTCATTAGACTTCCAGCTCTTTAAAAACATCTTTAGATCTAATAGTAATATCAAGATGCCAAAAAGTATTTCCTCTTCCTTTGTTATAAATATTATCTACTACCTGACCTCAGAGACAAGTGTAACTTCACTTCATTTTGCCTTAAGACCTAATTTTTAAGATGAAAAATACAATGGTTTCCTATTTCCTACACAATAGGACAACTAGATTACATTTATAGGAGGATACAAAGTTCAGAAACTTTCAAAATCAACAAATCAAGTTTCTCAAACACACAAATATTGGTATAGTGGTGAAGACTGTGAGTTCCAGACCTGCCTGAGGCATGAAAGCTAGCTGGGTGACTTTGGGCCAGTTATTCTCTATCAGTCCAACACACAACACAGGGTTGTTGTTCTGGGGAAAATAGGAAGAGGAAGGAGTATTAAGTATGTTTGCTGCTTTGAGTTACTTATAAAATAAAATAAAAAATCTGAAACATTTTTTTCCACCTATAAAGGAGCCCAGAATGGATTCAAGACCACAGATTAGCTCACACATTTTCAAATGGTAAAATTCCTCTTTTAAATATATATCAGGGAATTGCATTTTACTAGAACTAGAAATTGAATTTGCTGCATACAATAAATCATAAAACGATGAAATGTGCCCATGCGTGATATGTAAAAAGCATCATTCCAGGAAGTTCAAGCAACGCAAGATTCGCATTTATGCCCCTAACAGTGCATTAAAACTATGCAACCTTATTAAAACAAGATTACCTCTGCTAGATCAAATTATTCATTTCAAAAGCTTAATACATGCATCTCAAAGATACAAATCATGCTGTGGCAATTTCCTTTCATATTCTGTCTAAGCGCTAAAATTACAATTCATGCAACCGTAGTGATCTTTTAAACTGAGCAACTAATATTGGGTGTTCAAAGGAGTAGATTATACATCGTAATATATCAACCAGGTGTGAATGAGGACAGATGCAGAAGGGTTAGTTTTCTTGCTCTTTAGTGTTGCAGAGGGTAAAGGAAAGGAAAGTAAGCCATCCCCAGAAAGCTAGCAGAGCGGCGCCGCATAAAGAAACTTCAGTCTTACAGCAGAGACCTCTGTCTGGAGATCGGCCACTTTTTTTTTCAGTTCCTCCCCTTGAACCTCTTTGGTATTTAGCTCTTCCTTCAGTTGCTCTACCTGCCACGACATTGTTAATTCTTTTACATTTAGAGCAAAATGTTTTCCTCTTAACCTGCCACTACTTGAAGAGATGCAAAGCGTCGCAAACATATAAACAGCTAACAAACCCACCCATGATTAAACACCAGTTTCCCAGAATAACTATTTATTTATTTATTATTTTATTTATTAATTAAGTTTATATGCTGCCCTCTCTCTCACAGCAATAAAAACAGATAAAATCAATATTAAGTGTTAAAAACCATTAAAACTCCCCTTAAAAACCCGGAAAGAAGGCAGGTCAGGGGCCACCCGGAGCTCCAGGGGGAGTTGATTCCATAAGGTAGGTGCGCCCACAGAGAAAGCCCATTCCCTGGGAGTCGCCAGATGACACTGCCTGGCCAACGGCATTCCAAGGAGGCCCTCCCTGTGGGAACGCACCGGGCGATGGGGAGCTGTCGCTGGCCGCAGATGGTCCATCAGGTACCCCGGGCCTAGGCCATGTAAGGCTTTATAGGCAATAACCAGCACCTTGAATCTCACCCGGAGGGCAACCGGTAGCCAATGCAAGTCGCACAGGAGGGGTGTAACATGAGTGTGTCGGGACACTCCCATCACTACCCATGCGGCTGCATTCTGCACCAGCTGAAGTCTCCGAGTGCTCTTCATGGGCAGCCCCATGTAGAGAGCATTGCAGTAGTCGATCCGGGAGGTCATGAGCGCATGAGTGACTGTGTGGAGGTCATCACGGTCCAGGTAGGGGCGCAATTGGCGCACCAGACGATCTGTGCAAATGCCCCCCTGGTCATGGTCGCAACATGATCTTCCAAAGTCAACCATGAATCCAGGAGGACGCCTAAATTGTGCGCCCTTTCAATAGGGGGCAACACCTCACCCCCTATGACCAACGATGGAATATTCCCTTGGAACCGAGATGCCGGTACCCACAGCCACTCTGTCTTGGCGGGGTTGAGCTGAAGCCTGTTCCTCCCCATCCAGAGCTGCACCGCTTCCAGGCACCGGGACATCACGTCAAGGGCATCACTGGGCTGGTTCGGGGTGGATATAAAAAGTTGGGTATCATCAGCGTACTGATAATACCTCACCCCAAAACCACGGATGATCTTCCCCAGCGGCTTCATATAGATGTTGAACAAAAGGGGAGAGAGGACCGATCCCTGAGGTACCCCACGTGAGGGACCTCGAGGCCGACCTCTGTCCCCCTGCCAACACCGCTTATGCACACCCCGAGAGGTAAGAGGTGAACCACCGAAGAACGGTGCCTCCCACTCCTAACCCCTCAAGGCACCACAGTAAGATACCATGGTCGATGGTATCAAAAGCCGCCAAAAGGTCTAATAAGACCAAGACAGAGGAATATCCCTTGTTCCGAGCCCTCCAGAGGTCATCCACCAGCGCGACCAATGCCGTCTCCGTGCTGTACCCGGGCCTGAAACCCGACTGGTACGGGTCCAGATATAATGTCATCCAGGACCAACGGGAGCTGATGTGCCACCACACTCTCAACAACCTTCGCCATAAAGCGAAGGTTGGAGACAGGACGAAAGTTATTCAAAGTAGCTGGATCCAGGGTAGACTTCTTGAGGAGGGGTCTCACCACCGGCTCCTTCAAGGCAGCCGGAAAGTGCCCCTCACCCAAAGAAGCTGTAATCACTGTCTGGATCCAGCCACGTGTAACCTCCCGGGCCAAATAAACCAGCCAGGAGGGACATGGGTCCAACACACACATGGTAGCGCTCAGCTTCCCCATGATCCTGTCCACTTCCTTGGGAGTAACAGGATCAAACTCTTCCCAAATCACCAGACCTGTCGTCCCCTCCCCGACCGACCCAAATAAATACTGCTGCTCTTGAAAACTAACTGGAAACTGCCGTTGATCCAAAATAAGGAAACAAGATTGCTAAAGTGCTTTTTCATTTATATTACACTTTATTTGCTGCATTTGTACCCAGTCCATTTCTGGATTTAATGTAGAACTACCGCTTAGAATCAGTGGTGGTATTCAGCCAGCTCTACCCGGTTCAGGCGAACTGGTAGCGGCAGCTGTGGAAGGCTCCGCCCACCCGCCCGGACATCATCATGTCCCATTTTTCACGCTCTGTGCATGCATGGAGGTGGCGCGTGCGCTCACATTTGCGAACTGGTAGTGAAGGTAAGTGAATACCATCCCTGCTTAGAATGTTTTTGGGAAGACCTGTTCTTTGTGCTTTCATTAAGTGATGTGAGACACATACCTTCCAGAGAGCACATGATGGCCCTTCAGCTATAGTATTACTGAATTGGGCCCTTCCGGAAGTCTTAGATATATCTTTTTGGCATCAAGTAACCATATTATTCACCCATGTCTTATAAACAATAATCTTGTAAAAAAAAAAACTTTTGGATTTGCTAGTTGGCTTCCTTTCACTATTTTCAGCTCAGTTTAGTATTTTAATCATAACCACATCAAATACTGAATTGATTGGAAGCTACATAAATAAGGCAAGCTATGCATTTTAATCTGATTACTCTACTGCCCAAAGTTAATTAGCATATAATCAACAATTTATAATGCAGACCCCAATTTCAGCATTTTTCAAAGAAAGCCCAGGGTGTTTCCTCCTTTTTCTCTAACATTAAGCAGACTTTAAAAACATGTATATTGATTATAGTTTGGGCAATGCATGACCACTTGTAACCTTCTGAGGTCTTCCACCCTGATGAATCTTAAATTTCAAAGTCATCATTTTCTCCAAGACACTTTGTTATATCATGGACAGTTGTTTACATTAATTTATGCAAGAAATGTCCCTTGAGTATTTTACCAGAGTATGAACAACACACAGTTTTATTTAATTGTGCTGACGCAATTCAATTTTCCTAAACTGGTTTCTACATCTTAAATCAAATTTGGTTCACCAATCTTAAATGATAGTTACACAGATTTATAGCGTTGCTTAAGCATTTTCACTTAATTTGAAGGAACTCTAGTAGAGAAAATAGATCACTATAATCCTTTATCTATTCTGTGATTCAGTGGATGAATTCGTTTTTGGGGGAATTGAAAGCTATTTTTTAACATACGCTGTTTAATTATTACCTTGTTTTTCATAAATTTGGAATGGCTACGATACACCTCCATTTGTTTAATTTCTTCTTCACGTTCCTCTGTGCTGAGTGCACCATTTGATTTCAACATTTGGATTTCTTCTTCCAAATCTCGGAGTCCACGTTCCATAGAAGAAATTTTAGAATCCTTCAAATACATGGAACAATGGTTTAGTTTCCTCAAAAAAAAAAAAAAAAAGCCAATATTTTGCTAATAACATTTGAGTTTATGTCCGAGAAACCTCTCCCTGTAGCACTGTGCTATACATAATTTTTAACTGTAGCAGTTATTAAATAGGCATCTTCAGTTTAACCCAAAGGTGCTTTTTCAAAAGGTAATTTCTTGTTTTTCCCTTGAAGATGTTTTGCTTCTCATCCATGAAGCTTCTTCAGTTCTGACTGAATGGTGGAGAATGAAAGGTTTCTCCATCATTCAGCAGAACTGAAGAAGCTTCTTGGATGAGAAGCAAAACATCTTCAAGGGAAAAACAAGAAAGTTCAATTACCTTTTAAAAAAAAAACACCTTTGAGACAACCATGACCTGGATGACTGAAAATCTCCACAGACATCTACAATTTAAACAGAAAACAGATATACACTAATGGAAACTGGCATTTTGAACCCAGAAATAACACTGGGAATACACTGAGAACTTGGAGGCAAATAAGAAAAAAATGCTTCAATAGAAAAACATTTATACATTTCTGCAACACAGTCAGAAGTATTTATTTGTACATTCAATGAAAATAGCTATGCTCTGCTCACTTAGAATATCATCTAGAAAAAGATGTACTATTTCTTAATTTTTTCCGTAATAATTTTTTCCTGTTTCAAATATAACAATTATTTCCTTGTTATTGAAACTATTTTATATTAAAGTCCTTCCTATGAAACAAACCATTATCTAGAATATATAACAAAATAGGCACATATTAAAAAAATTAATGATGGCAAGTATGACAATAGGGTAAAATAGACATTCATTTCACATACATAATATAAACCAGATATAAATAGTCCTGCACATTTATACAACAATACTCTAAAATCTCCTGACAATAGCAGAGATGGTAAAAAGTGCATTGTACAACATGTCAGGATGAAAATTCAAAAAATAAAAGAGAAAAAACTATTCCATTTGATAGAAAGAATTAGTTTCTTTTACCTTCATCTCTATAACAGTCTGTAAAGCTTTAGTTTTGGCAGAATCAGGAGCATTTTCAAAACGACGGTGCATCTCCTATTTAAGAAGAAGAAATATTAAGTATGGTAGGTACCTAAACACAACAGCATCGAACTTCTGGGATTCATAGAAAAAGTATTATAGGTATTAAATGATTCCATCTTTTTTCCTGGTACAGCTACGGTTATTATTATTTTTTATACAAACAAGAAATAGCTACAGTGAACTGCATATCAATGATTTTTCGCAAAAAAAAGCATACTCAAAAGTAATAGCTGAAGGAACTTTTAAAAAATTTAAATACCTATTAGCAATGATCTTATGAAACTTTCGTCTTCCAGAAGGACAAAATACTTGAAAAAAACAGGATTAATAAATAACAGCAACAATCTGCTATGTACTTAACAAGCTGATAAAGCATCTATGCCAGCGATACTCCTACATTCCCAGAGTAGCAACCACCTAGTTACTAATGACGACAGCTCTTTCCACAGTGATAACAAGGAACTGTTCATCAAAACAATTAAAGTGCAGCTGACATAAATGGTCTGTAGTTAAGAAGGAGCAAAATGAAAATGCCTGGGATTAAAACACTAGAAACTGTTTTGCACTATAGACCACAGTTAATCTTGGATTAGAATAATGACAAACAAATCATGCACTAATTTTCCTCCCATTTTTATAGCAATTTTCATAATGAAACATCAGGAAATATTAAATCACATTAAATATTAGCATAAGGTATTAAATATTGGTGTAATGTAAGCATCAAGACTAAAGGGAAAAAAACTAGAGAGGAGTAAAATGTGCAAGGGGAAGAAAAGCAAAAGCAAAAAAAAGAATCTAATAAAAGAGAAAAAAGAAATATATAAAGAAGTGACCTCCAAATATAATTACAAGTATAAACAAGCGTAATAACTTTTCACCACCTCTAAGCTTACAAATATTTATCTCATCATCTCTTACCTCTGAACAAATCCATAAAACATTATCTTTCAGTTCTGATGTTAGCTGAAAATCCATTCAGGAGCCAGGAGAAATAACATGTCTTATTTTATTCTTGATCAAATAAACCAACTTTATATTCCTTCATTTTACTTTTAGAAGTTGTAATCTTTAGTTCATTCAAATATTGTTGTACAATTTGATTTAACTTCATTTCTTCTTTGTCCTATCACAAAGAATTCTTCAAGGCTTAAAGAATCTATTTTGTAATTTTCAGTAGAAAATTATTCAAGTCACTTTCTTGGTTTGTAATGTATATTTCCCTTTTAAATTGTAAGTCAATTTCTTTGTACATCCAATGAAACAACCTTTTCTAAAACATTCTCTTAGACTGTAAGTTGTAAATCCATTTTCAATATCACCTCTATTTTGTCAGATATGTTTTTTCTACATTTCTTCAATAACATATTTTGGATACAGTCTGTCCACAGAAGCAGACACCACTACTGACATTGTTGATATTGAGTCTATTTTCTGATTCCATTCTTCAAAAGTCTCCTTCAATATTTTTATTGTTAGTGTTCAGCACCCACTTACATACCTGTATACCTCCCATAGAGCTGTCAGGTCTCCTTACATCATTTGACTTTTATTTGCTGAAATACGATTTTAATCTACAAAAGAAATCTGGAATGCAAGTTTTCTCTATAAGAAAGTCTCTGAGCCCTATATGATGGATGTCTGATTTTGTTTATATGAATGTGTTCTGTCCAAAATAATTCAGCTGTTTTGCCTTAAATTTATAAATTTTAATCATAAAGTTATATGAAAATCAGTGAAGAATATAATGCTTACTCCACTTGAAACATGATGCAAAACAGCAAATGGTTTCAAACATCCTTCATAGTAAAGTAATTGTTTCTATGGAAACTATAGAACTGTCATTCTTTATTGTTGCCCAGATTTCTGGTTTTCTAAATAGAAGTAGACAATCATTTACAGCTTCCCACTAAAATCAAATAAAAGAATAATGTACAGATTGTCGTGATTCAGGTAGGCTCTATTTATAAACACACAGAATAGACTTGCTATTGTATAAAGGTAAAGGTAAAGGTTCCCCTCGCACATATGTGCTAGTCATCCCTGACTCTAGGGGGCGGTGCTCATCTCCATTTCAAAGCTGAAGAGCCAGCGCTGTCCGAAGATGTCTCCGTGGTCATGTGGCCGGCATGACTAAACACCAAAGGCACACGGAATGCTATTTCTACTTTTCCCTTTTCTCATACAAGCAATAGCCAGTCAGTTCAGCCATTTTCAAGAGCCAGAAGCATTTTAGTCTTAGGTGTATGGAACGCTGTTACCTTCCCACCAAAGGTGGTCCCTATTTTTCTACTTGCATTTTTTACATGCTTTCGAACTGCTAGGTTGTCAGAAGCTGGGACAAGTAACGGGAGCTCACCCCATTATGTGGCACTAGGGATTCGAACTGCTAAATTGCCGACCTTTCGATCGACAAGCTCAGCATCTTAGCCACTGAGCCACCACATCCCAGCACTATTGTATAAGGATAGGATAAATTGCTATTGTATAAGGATAGGATAAATTCCTGATTGCTCCCAGTATTTTTCTTGCACAAGAATGAATTCCTAAAGAACAAAAAAATAAAGTTCATAAATACGTTGCTTATTTTATTTTTAGACATGTTCTTGATCGATATCCTCTCCATTTCTGAATCCAGACTTAAACATATATGGATATTAACAACCCAAAATTTCAAATTTCAGCTTCCAATCTTTTTTTTTGTTTTGATACTTTTGATATTATTCCCAGATACATCCCCAACTTCCTACATACAGAATTTATCAATTGATATGGGAGCTCAGAATAAATTATGAATAAGCAACCAATTTGCCAATCAGGTAAGTTTAGATTCCAGACTAAGATGCGTGTTGCTTTAAACAGCTTAGGAAAAAAATCTGCAAGGGCTTGTTCCTATCAAAAGATAAAACAAGAAAAAAAAATGTGCAAGATTAGATGGATTATGTGAATAAACTCACTTCTCTGAGCAAGCTGCTCTCCTTTTCCTTTTGCTCTAGTAAGGTTTCCAGGTGATGAACGTGCATTTCAGCCTCTGCCAACCTTCTTGTGCGTTCGTGATCTTCCTCGGTGGCTTTTGCAGACAATCCCTTGCTCTGCAGCATTTCCAGTAACTTTTTAATTGACTCATCACGAGCATTTAAGGTCTGTTTTTGAGTCTCGATGCGCAACTCCATTTCTTCCAGGGTTTTGCGTAGCAAGAAGAGTTCCTTGGCTTGACGCTCATGCTCTGCATGAAGCCGTTGGAAGTTTTCTTCTGTTAGTTCGGTCAGAAATGGTTCACTGGATCTACTGCTGGTGTCTTGTTGGAAAAGTTGGTTCAGGTCCCTCTGGATCCTAAGCTCGTCCTGAAGAGCTTGAATGGTCATCTGCATATGCTGAGAAATAAACATCCAAATCAATAATCATTTCATTAAGAAAAAATACAATACAGATTTATGAGAGAGAATATAAATATATAATGTTGTGTCCCAAAACATTCCTAGTGTTGGGACACCTCCGAGTACGGGAGGCATCCCTTACTCATCCAGTTCAATTAGTGATCTTCTAATGTTATTAAAAGTTAAAGCCAACAGTTTCAACAAAGTTTAAAAGTTTTTTTAAATAATAACTTGTTCATTATATACTCTATATATTCTTTAAAAAAAAGAATTTGTTCTTAATATATCAGATATAATAAATTGCCCATCTACTACTCTATTCTCATATTCTACCAGGTTAGGTCTTACCTATACTTAGTAAATTGGTTCCTTGGTTCTGGGGTGGGGGGTGGGGAGAAATTGTCTCCCTCAGAACGGGTTCGCAATTTGGGTGTCCTCCTAGACTCACAGCTAAGATTAGAGCAACATTTGACAGCTGTGGCTCGGGGGACCTTTGCACAGGTTCGCCTGGTGCACCAATTGCGACCCTACTTGGATCGGGAGGCTCTCCTCACGGTCACTCATGCCCTTGTCATCTCACGGTTAGATTATTGCAACACGCTCTACATGGAGCTACCCTTGAAAAGTGTTTGGAGACTACAGTTGGTCCAGAACGCAGCCACGCGAGCTGTCGTGGGTGCACCTAGGTACACCCACATTACACCAATTCTCCGTGAGCTGCACTGGCTCCCTATTGGTCTCCGGTCACAATTCAAGGTGTTGGTTATTACCTTTAAAGCCCTACATGGCTCAGGGCCAGGGTATCTTTGAGACAGCCTTGTACCGCATAACTCCCAACGACCGGTAAGATCCCACAGAGTTGATCTCCTCCAGGTCCCGTCAGCTAAACAATGCCAGCTGGCAGGCCCGCGGGGGAGGGCCTTCTCTGTGGCTGCCCAACTCTCTGGAACCAGTTACCTCCTGAGGTCCGGACCATCCCCACCCTATTGGCCTTCCGAAAAGCGGTGAATACCTGGCTTTTCCGGCAGGCCTGGGGCCATTGATCTCGCTCTTGCGATCCGGCAAGATCCAGCCATGAATGGTGTGAATGAGTTTTAATGTTTTGAATGTTTTTAATTTTTGAATGTTTTTATAATGATTTTAAATGCATTGTGAGCCGCCCTGAGTCTTCGGAGAGGGGCGGCATACAAATTGAATTAATAATAAATAAATAATAAATATTTTCATGGAAACAGGTTCCTGGCTCCCACATTTCAAGAGGTCAATGAGAGGCAGGAACTCACTGAAGGGCTACAGAAGTTTACAGAATAACAGAGATGGAAGGGACCAGGAAACCTTACACCACTTCAGACAAATGGTTATCCAATCTCTTCTTAAAAACTTCCAGTATTGGAACATTCACAATTTCTGGAGGCAAGTTGTTCCACTGACTAATTGTTCTGTCAGAAAATTTCTCCTTAGTTGTAGGTTGCTTCTTTACACTTAGTGGCCGAAGGCGCCGGCCAACCAAAACTACCCTGGATCCCCAATTCCAATTATCAAAGTATACAATATGAAAATAGTTCAAATGATTACAAATCATGCAGAATTATAAGGACAAATGATCCCTTTTTGAAACAGATACACTACATCAATCTAAAATGCTTCTTAAGGGTGGGCAAATCCATGCCAACTCCAGCAGTAATGGCTGAACCAAGTTTACTATGCAATGTCACCACGCAATTAAAGTGTCCAACTGTTGGGTCAAGAACTTATTTTTGGATGTGACAGATTACCCAGAATGGCGAGTAATCTGTCTCATCCATAGGAGCTGCGTGGGTGCAGTGGTTAGAATGCAATATTGCATACTAAATCTGCCAGAGTTTAGGCAGCGTGACTAGTATTATGAGATAAACCCAGGAGCTAAAATACAGCACACAGCGCTTTTAGATAATTAATAGTGGTTTATATACAGCAATATAGACTTATACGTGGTAAATACCTTATAATACACCTACTGACACAAGGTGAGCAATGAGATACATGATGAGAGAGAACATGAGAAGGGAGACGCCCTCTAATGGCTTCCTTTATATAGACAGCTTCTTACCCAGCTTCGTAAAGTGGCAGTAACCCTGCTGCCTCATTCCCATTGCATCAGTTTACAGTTGCTTCCGCTTACAATCTTCCATCACCTTACAGCTATTAAATCTACATACTCTGACAAAATCTGCCCACAGCCTGGAGTTTGATGCCAACCACCTCAAGGTGGACTCAGCCTTCTATCTTTCTGAAATCAGAAAAACAAGGACCCAGATTTTCGGGGGAATATGTTGACACTGTCAATTGCTCAGATAGTGCTGTAAAACACTGTGGAGCAGTATATAAGTGCTAAAATGTACTCTGAAGGCACTTAATACGTCTCCTCATATTTGGGTTGCCCAACTTTATAAATACCATATCACAACATGAATTCTCTGTCTAATTCCTAGTCCACTCCAATCTGAAGGCTGAGAAAAGTTTCAAACGAAGGGTTTGGATGATACTGCTTTAAGACTATATCATATCTTTAAATGTTAAGATCTTGAAGTGGGGCTGGTTTGGCACAAATTAGTCTTTCAGACTGAGTATTTAATCATTTATATGCCCCCACATCTTAGAAGAGCTTTCTTTAGAACAGATTTAGAACACGTTTTGAACAATTAAGATATGACAGATTCCATAGAGCAGCGGTTTCCAACCTTTCCGGCTTGGCAGCCTGGCAAGAAGGATGGGGATAGTTCTGTGCAAGCGGTAGACATGCACACAGCTCCATTTGTGCGAGTTGCATGTGCACACGCTCACACAAATGGAGCTTTGCATGTGACAGCCAGTGCCCGCTGCTCGCAGAAGTGGAGCTGTGTGCATGTGCCCTCATGCTTGCACTCGCACACTGCGTGTATGGCCCAAAGCCCAGGGGCTGGAGTCCCCTGCCATAGAGTTCCATTTGCAGAAAGATTGTATATGTTATGGCCTGTTGGCCGCCAGCCCTTCCAGCAGCCGAACCAGAGGAGGCAGCATGGGAATCAGGGTCAGCATCAAGGAAACCTGAGAGCTTTCAAGGGGAAGAGGGAATGGAGCTGGCAGAGAGAGAGACAGAGAGAGAGACAGAGAGAGAGAGAGGGAGGGAGAGAGGGAGGAAGGGAGGGGCGCAGCCTGGGCTGTCCGTCAGCCCTCAGATGGAGAGTCAACAGCCCCCAAGTCTGGAGGTGGTTGATGAAGAAGAAGAGGAACAGCTGGGTCCAGTGCCTGCTGCGCAGATGCACAGAAGGCAGAGAAGAGAAGAGCAGGGGAAATCCATGGGCCGATCCTTGGGAAGGAAGAGCCACCGCTGCTAGCGAAGCCCCACCCTAGCTCTGGGGATAAAAGGCAGGGGGTGGAGATGAACAAATGTGGCAGACAACTATTCATCTTCTAGCCAGCCGGACTTGTTAGCCTGCGTTGAGAGAGAAATTTTTTGCCGGGGCTGCCGGCACTCCTAATAAAGGAATTTTTTGAGTTCACTTCAGAGGGTTTGTCATGTTTGGGGAGCTGGGTCAGAACAGTATATGGTGGTGCACTTGCTTCCAAAGGTATCAAACGTATCTTGTATAACTGCAAACTATATTCTGGGGAAATGGATGTTTACTTGGAATCTTGTTTTAAAAACTAAGAAATATTGGGAAAATCAGGATAAAGAGTCATACCTCTTATAGGGAGTGAATTTGCATATTGCTAGGAAGGCTGCAATTTTCATATCCAAGACCATTATGAAGAAGATAGCCTACCTAAAACAAATTGAGTTTGACACCACAGGTAACAATTTAGTATGAATATGTTTTACTGTGTTTGGAGAATTCTTTGGAGAGCTTTTTGATATGGAGAGGTGTTTAATCAATAAAATTTATTGTATATTGTGTTCAATATAGAACAATTGAATAGAATATCTAAAAAAAGGACAGATGTCTTATAAGGCTATGATACTATAGAATCTTACATTAAAAAGTTGATTTTAAACGTACTCTATTGCTAAATAATCTCAAAGGCAATAGAGTAGAAAAGAGATTAAAAATGTTTACAGATAAGTAGCTTGTCAGTAGAACATTTCTCAGCTCGATCAGGTCAAGCAAAGAACATTTTGTTCATGTCTACATGAACAGAAAATAGTTAAAATAAACCCAAGGAACAGAAGTATGCCACATAGGAAAGAACAGAAACACCTTGGCATCAACGCATTTTATTAGATTCCTAGAACAGGAAAAACTTTTTTTTGTTTATGAAAGCAAATAGGAAAAGATATTCCAATGCTATCCAAAAATAAAAATACAATTTCACATGCTGGAACTGTTCAAATGTAAGACCATATATAATTTCTTCCAATGTAACCTACCATAAAACACACAATGATTGATAAAACAGGAAAAAAATATTTTTACTGATATTGAAATTTGAGCCTTTCCTTTCTAATGAATAGCATCTTAGAACAGTTTAAAATAAAAAAAAATAATAGATTCAACAAAATGTAATCAAATTGTAATAGCATTAACTTCTTAGTCTACAAAATTACTGAACAAAACAAACTTTAGCAGGTGAAAGTCTACCAGAAAAAGGAATTTATAATATAGTACCATCTAGAGAGAAGTCATACATGCTTTATGGACAATGTATAATATTATACATTGTTACATACAAAATGTAACAATTAACTTTTCTTAGTTAGTGAGGTGTTTTATTTTCTTTATAACAAATAAATGAGTTTTATTAGAAACCTTCCTTCGCGTTTCTTTATCAGAATAGTGCAACTTGGAATAAGCCTCGATTCATCTCCTCCAAACCAGGGTAATTAGTCCCAGAGCCAAACATGGGATTAATAAATGCCCTGACAAATGCCCATAGGGGGTACGGACTCTGGGGGAAAGGGGACTGTTAGAATGCCCTCTATTGAGGGCTTTTCCATCAATACGCTGAGTGGGAGGGGCAGGTATGGCAGGAGCAGGGGG